ACACAATCACTTAACCCCAAAAAAAGTTGTTAACTAGAGATAACAACGGGAAATGTTTTTAAAATTAGATTCAGAATCGCACTACTGGCATTGCATATTTCACGGGGCAATAATTTGTTACCAGCTTATGAGATGGTAACAAAATTTACCGGTTACAAGAGTATACAGAATGCGAAAAGGGTTTAAAAATTGACAGGAACTTTATTTACCGGTTACAAACTTTTTATTACCAGCGCAGAATAGACCTGTTAAAAGGAATTAGTTGTTTCTCTTTTCTATTGTGCCCTGTACTTAAAACAGAAATAGACTTTTTTGTATCACATTGGGCCTTATGAATAAAAACTAAACAATGCTTTTTTCTTAAAATTTCTTTACGTAAAGTTATTTGAATAAATGAAGCAAAGGGTTTGAAGTCTTAAGAAAAAGCAACTGCTTAGTTTTTATTCATAAGGCGCATTCACTGAAATCTTCGCCCAAATTCTTTTCACTATCGGTTCCATTGAACGATATTTCTTCCAACCATTTTAGAACTTGTTCTTCGAAAAGTTAAAAAAAATAAGTTCAAAACAGAAAATAGCCAACAAACATGTTGAAAACTGAAATAAGTACAGCAAACGAAATTACCTTTACTACTAACGTTCGCCTGTCAGGCGTCAAGAGGGCGTGGAACTCAGCCGCGCAAGGCCACTGTACAATGTGCGTTTGCTAATAGCCTCGTACAGCGCTAAGCTGAGTTGGCGCGAACGTTTACTTTGATCATTAAAAGCGTTCCTGAAATATCGCGCGGAAACCGAATTCGTTCCGCCTCACAGGCGAACGTTAGTATTCTAGGGTTAAATGAAGGTACGTACAGGCGCCACATACATACCAAAGAATCTCGTAGTGGAGACACGAACCAAAACACATTTACCTCTATATCATTCCAACTAGTAGCCGAAACTTAATATATAAGGTATTGTTTGAAAGGTATTGGCTTATAGAATAACACTAAATATGTTGGGTGTACCCACATGCCCCCTTAAACCGGCAAAAGCAAAAAAACGTTTTTTGTTTCGCAGCACTTTAGCCTAATTTTTAAGAATCCGGTTAGTCGTTTATGAAGCTTGAATACATTTTCTAAACACACTCTGCAAGACCTTTCCAACGATATCTCAAACATGTCGATTGGACGTCTGGATAAAAACTTCCAAATCTCGTGTATATATAAGCGAGTCATTTCAGAATGCTACTGTGGCTGCTTTCGTCACTCGCGCGCACTGCCGTGCGCTGTGATATGCGACTACACCACAGCGGTACATAAGTATGATAAATTTAATAGTTAAAGACGGATTTAAATGTGGCGATGAAATTAACAATTATTAAAAACTAATCAATTAAATTATTTAAAACTAATCAAGTTTCAACGAAATCCGGGTATGCATCAGCCGCTTAAGCCTCTGATGGCCTTTTTTCAGTGCCAGCTTAAACTTAGATTGAGTAAACTGAGTTTAAATTGAACAGCTGGCTGACATTTGATTGGCTGATCTTAGTTTAAACCAGCCAGATCAGGCGTTTAAACTTAGTTTAAACCACGGCCGTGTACTGAAAAACTGGCCCTGAGAGATACTCCATCGCGTTGGAATAGCACGTTTTGCATACTAAAACGCTTTCTGCAGCTTGAAGAGGCTATAAAAAGCACAATTGCTTAAGAAATGCTGATCTATCTTTAAGCTTTCGTGAGAGAAGTATACCTAAACAGCTATGCAAAATACTTAGGGCCAATTGCAAATGCATATTTAAACGGCACATAAATTTAATTTTGGATTGTTATTTAAATGGCATTAAATTTTCGTTGTACCTCATTTACCATTTTACCAATAATTTTTCCCTTTTAAGTGCTCTTTTAAAATTCCTTAAAATATTTACATATTTTGAAATTCAGTGGCAGCGTTACCTACCTTCAGCAAAAAAAAATTATAAAAAAAGTCAACGGTAACTTTTAGCTACTTGAAACTTGCACATTATTACCCTAAAATTGAATGAACTATAAAATTGTATACTCAAAAAATAATTCTGAGAAAAAAATCTTAAATTTTGGTGAATTTTTTTCTTTAAGTGTTCTATAAAATCTTAAGCTTAGGTTTATATGGCATTTGTTAAGGAATGAACAGTATTTTAATTGAAAAATCTTAAATAATGCTATGGTCTTGGTTTTAAACTACGTATACTGCATTAAATATTCATGTTTCATTCAAGGATTTACATCTTTATGTAAGTTAATAAAAAGATGTAACTGCTTCAATAATTGTGTTCGCTTAAGTACCCGCATCGAGGTTTTAAGTGGGTTCTTTTAAGTACCAAACCAGCCTAAGTACCTCAAAAAGCTAAAAATTTTCGTGAGGTACTTAAGCGGGTTTTACTGTAGTCTCAAAATCCAAGTTCACCACCAAAAGTCACTATTAGTGATTAGAGACCGCTTACTGAATGCCAGGGTAAATCTTCATATGTGCTGGAACACGCCCACTGAACATCAAGACTTTTAAAGTATGTATGTACATTGTCGGCGCTTGAACATACTCATTTGACCCAAGCTTGCTTACCCTGCAAAAATTGTTGGACCATGTAGTCTATTTGGGGTATATTGGAGTACTTACAAAGTGCCCCTCCGTCATGCTGTAGCGGTCCAACTCGTGTCTCTGCACCAGTTTATTGTTACCCGATCACTGCGCGTGTTTTAACGAAATGTGATTGAAGTTGAGCATTTGAAAGCACATTTGCATGTCTGGCTGTAGCTGAACGTGTAAAGATGCTCGCTGTTATTTGTTAGCTCCCAGCATGTTCAGGTTCGATTGCCGTCAGAGGCAACATGTAATTTTAAATTTTTGTATATCAAGAATGCCATTGTTAATATGTTGGAGTAGTTTTGTGCTACTCTGATGTAATGCAGAGGTGGAGTATATGGTCCTGGCCTAGGACATCGCCTTGTTAATTGGACCATATTACTCTTAATAAGCATGCATGGAGTAGTCGCGATTTTTGCAAGGTAATGCCATTTTTACCGCGTCATCTACATATGTACATTTTTCCACAGCGAGGTATAATTTACGCGATTATATAAGTAACACACACATATTACGCGATGTTATAAATAACACAAAATCAGAGTCCGAATAAAGGAGCCAAGATTGTAATTTGCTGCTAATGTTTAAAATAAAAGATGAATTTACAAAAGATTGTTTGTTTCATTTCGATGTATGAAAAATATATGTAGGGAAAAATTATATTTACGTAGGGAAATTTCTCTGGTTTATCTGCGTGAAAAGTGAATTAAAATTTTTTTTTTTTTTGGTTAGTGATTGACCGTTAGAAGGCACAAAACGGGAGCGAAGTTACTACAAATAGTCTGTTCCTTTGAACTTCGGACCAAAACCTGTGGAACTGTC